AATTAATATTATATATAAAGAGCCATTTTATGATTTTATTCAATGTTTTTGATACTAGTTGACTTATTCATTAATTAGTTTTTAAATAAGAAATATTTTATATAGAATTTTCTTAGTGTATTTTATATATATTTTTAAAACTTTGATTGAAAACTGAATCTGTTACACAATTTTTTATGTTCTTCTTTATCGATTTTGATCCTCTCGCGAACTGAAACTTGAAATTTAAATAATGAAGCTAAACCAGTATTACGTTCCAAATTACGGTATTGTATATAGAAAAGTATAATTTAAATTAATAAAATCACATTATCAATATTCCCAAGGCCATATCTTAAGATGATTATTTATAATGACGTTGAAATACAAATTTGCTGTAGCATTTTCCTTTAAGAATACTAAATTGGTATGAAGCAAAATATTGATAGATATTTTAAAGAAAAACTCTCCCTTGGGATTTTTAGAGTAACTGTTATTTATTAAGTTGTTAAAATTCTTATGACTTTTATTTCTGTACAAATCCGTTATTGCAGTTGTAGATTTTAGATAATAATTATTGCAATTTAGACAGGCGAAAGAAACATGTAATCCATATTAATTAAAAAAAAGTCTATATTCATTAAAGAATTCGATCATTTTTTTAGTAAATAAATCAAAACATCAATCCACCTATATAGAGTATTTAACATGAACAAAGGAAAAAGTGTTTTCATAATTACGGTTGAACTATTAAAACCAAGTAGTATAAGACTGCATGAAATTATTATGTTACATCCAATAGAAACCCTTTCACTATAGTGATAAAGTATATTTTAGAATGAATGGACTCAACGAACATGCTTGTTAAGGACATGTTATTAAGTAATTACTGTAAACGACGTGTAATCAGAAATGTCACTATGAATTAAACACTGACAGTTTATACACGAATAAAAACTTCTGGGTTTAAACTATACAAGGATTTCATAGAAATATATCATGAGTGCAGCAAAATACGATGAAGTAGTAGTCAACATTTTGAATTAAAATAAACTCATACTTTTCATAAATTGACATACATAGCCTAGAAGGGCCCACGGCAGAGCAAAGTCCTCTTCTCACACGGAGAAGGTTTAAGCATTAATCATCACACTTGCTCGAGACGGGTTGGTGATTTCAAGCTTATACATAATTATAAGTTAAAGTTTACTCACGATGTTTTTCTTCACCGTCTATAAATGGTGTCTAAATACTCTTAGAAAGAACGCACCACTCTTACTGTACTGACTGTACAGTACTGACTATACACAAACTAAACACATTTCTTCCTCATTTGATTTCAACATGACACACCTTATAGCTGTTATGTTACAAAAACATATTATACTATAATATTTTTTCAGCCAAATATATTTCTTAATATTTATATTATGCGTATAATAAATTATTTTTGGCATTGTGAGAACAAAAGGAATTAATTTATCACAAAATTAATGATGTTGTTATAACGATGTAATTCATTGAAAGGGTAACGTTATATTTTAACGAGCAATTATTCAACATCAATTTTAAAACAAAGACCAAAGTTTACCAATATTACTTTAAAATATAATTTTATGAAAAAGAAATATTTTAAGAATACATTTTATTTAAATAAAATCTTAGATATCGTTATATTTTGTTTTATATCTTCTTTTGTAAATAGATTTTCACGTTTATTGATAATACAATAAAAATTAAAGACAAGAATAAAAATCAATATTCAACAATTAAATAATCACAAATATTACATAGTTTATTTTTGTTTTTTTTTTTTACAACAAGTATGTATTTTACAAAACACACTCATAAAAAGCAACAGCTATTAGTATATTTAAATCAAGGAGTTCTTCTATTAGCCCGTTCTCATAAATCTTAATATAAGATAGTTCATTTAAATTTCTACTATGATACTTATTGTGTAGAATTTACTCTTAGTTTTATTTATTGCTATATTTATTATAAATAATATTATTACTTCATAAAAAACTGTACTTCCATATCTTGTTAAGAGGTAACAAGTATTGCTTCTACGAAATTGACTAAAAATATAACTTGTTCGCTTTATAACTATAAGTGTCCGGGGAAAACAGTTTTTATATGAATAAAGAGACTTTTAAAAACATACAGTGGCATTCTCTTGGGAGCAATACATTTAATACGCATACGATATAGTAATATTCAATGCAATGTTATTGTAAATAAATATGCACAACAAAATATATAATAAGGGTACGTTCATTGAGACGTAATTCTAGTGAATTAAAATCTTCCATTAATTTGCAATCTAGATGAAATAAAATACAATTTCATGTTTTAAATCAACTTTTTATTCAAAATTGTTACACATTTTTTAATTCTATTTATTTTGAAAAAAAAAATGAGTTGAGTTCAGAATAAAGTTCTTTTCATAAAATATAATATTTAGTTTGCCTTACAAAGTTTACGACTCCATATCAATTTAGACCAAATACTCATGAACAAAATGTACACAACATCGTGTTATAACGTATGAGATCGTAAGATTACAGTTATTTACTTGAGTTATACATTTAAATGAATATAATTTTCTTGAATTCCTTTTTTTATACCAATATTACGATTAAAAACCAAGATAAAGTAAGATTACCATATAGCCATATAAATGTATATATTACTTTAGGTTTCAAATAAAAATTATAACGACTATAAAAACTTTGTCCTTCACACAGTGATGATCTAAATCTTCTTTCGTTTTATTATATAAAGTTCGATTGTTTTATGTTCTGACAATGTTTAATATTGAGAGTTGACCCAAAAAAATATAATTTGATAATCGAAACATAATTTATTTAATAAGGCATATATGTGTCTAATTATAAAAAACTACTTAATAAAAAGCCTTTGCTCAGCAGTGGGCTCTGATTGGCTGATGATGATGACTTAATAAAAAATATATATGTATGTTATGTCTACGCCATTGCTACTGAATGTATTCATTGTGCCTATATGACAATATTAATAGTGTGGGTGCCATCATTAACATATTAAAATCGCATATCAAATGATTTATCAGAACTATCGTCGACACAACCACAACTTCATTACAACAGACATATTGCATACTATATCACAATCATTTTATTAATAAAAGGTTATTTACGATTATGTTCAATTTTACCAACAATATATTATCGTCATTTTAAAACTGAACACTCAAAACGATGATAGAAAAATTTCTTCATAATGTATTAAAGATGAACGTATGAAATATATTATAAAAGAAATAGTCGTAATTAAAATATATAGAACGCTATACAAAGACTTAATTATGGATACGACAGCTTAATTGGCAAAGCTACTGGGACGTGATATCCCGGAAGACCCAAGTTCGAATCTAGCTCATGTCACTGACTTCATTGTTCTGTATTAATGACTGACTTAATATTTAACTCGAGCGTTGCTTACTCCTGTAATTATAAAATATTCAAAAAGTTATACAATCGAAAATATAAATATGATATCATAGAAAAGATACATTAGATGTGATGTATGGCTTCCCAGAAGTCGACTCCCAAGAGCTAAACATCGTAAAACAACTTTTTCCCGCTCCATAATGTGGTATTCAGAAATATTTTGTTGGAGTTAAGTATCTAGGGAGTTTTGATGATCTCGTTATAATTTTATGCTCTTTCGCTGTATTTTTTTGGTATTTTGGTATAGGTTTGTTATAAATATGAACAAAAATCTACTCAAAATAAAAAAGGGATTGGTATGGAACAATAAATATATTTAATTTTAAGCAAAAAAAATCATTTTGTTTGTTTTAACGGTAAAAAAAAAACATTTTATTTCTATAGTGAGAAGTCAATTTTAAATATTTTTGAAGCCTTTACAAGTCGAAGTCATTTTTGCTAGATTATATGTATATGTGAAGGCAACAACATTTAAAACCCTTATAAAGGGTAGTTGTTTCATAAGTATTTTACTCTCAAAGGGTAGATGTAACATAAACAAATCACTTACGTCATTGCGTTAGAGATTTCTTTAACAAAATTATTTGTTCTACAGACGGTTGTATGATTTGTATAAAGAACAGTAAAAGTTAATTCGTACCGTTATTTGTAATATGTGACGATTAATCATTCTGTAACTTTTAGTAAAAAGAGCTTAATTAGTAACCAATGTTAATCAATTATGTTTTCTATTAACTATTAAGTTGCAATATTAAGATTGGATGTTTTAATAGTTAATTACTAAAACTATTCGTCATAGCTTAATATTAAAAATTAAAAGAGTAAATGTAATGATTTCACAAAAACCATTAGTCGTACAGACAGTATTCTGAGAGCCATTCAGGAGGAAGATTATATCATTACAAGTGCGAGTTAAAGTCTAAAATAAAGTAGTGGCAGTGTTTGTGGGTGTATTAATAGTTAAATCAAAATGGAAGATGAATAAGCCGAATGTTGAAAACAGTGATTGTGACAGCAGCAGTGCTGACGTCACACTTCTTAAAAATCAAATATAACAAATATGACAAAGTTCGTCGACATAGACGTACGTTTATAAATAAAAAATGCTATTAATATCAATAATTTTAAATTGTTTTCTTCTTCTTAAAACAATAAATAATAGTGTTGTCATTTCGTTGATCCATATTCGATCCAATTTGTCACGTTTTACAGCTGTTCAAGTAGTCCTACTTAAATATTTTTTGTAGTAATATAATTTTATTAATATCTTTGCTTATATCTTTAGTGTTTTATCCCTCAGCAGGTTTTTAATGACAAAATGTTTATATTTCGTTGCCATAGGATAAAAATATTCAAATACAAAGCTCTACGTAGTTTCGAAGCTATTTTATTTCTTTATTTTTGAATAATAATTTCTGGAGTGATATAATAAAACGTTAAGTCACACAAATTTTCAAATTATCTACGAAGTTCTTAAATAGCGGTTGCAAAAATAATATTTTTGAATCGTATTGGGCTGAGGCGTATATGAAATGTAAATGTCATACTTGTCAAGATCAGGCAAGAGAAGAAATCAGAACGAGGGAATCTGTAGATCTAACTTTTGATTTTGATATTTGTAACATAAAATATCATATTTGGTTGGAAGAGTTAAGCTCTTTGAGTTACTATATGCTACTATACGTTACTATAGGCGATTTTAAGTACCGTTTAATTATTAATATTAAAGGTGATATATTTTGCCAACAGATTCAAAAAGAGATCACTGCAACAAGACTGTGGAGGTGTATGAAGATGTGTCGTCTCCACCGGTGTCTGCAGACAACTTTGGGCGACCGCTCACTTGCACATACAGGTTTGAACATAGAAAATTATAGAGTTCAATGTCATGTTACATGTAAAATAATATATTTCTTTTATATAGATTTCGAGCTTTTCGAGGTTCACCAAAGGATTGGATATTGAGAATAAGATTTAAAAAGTTCAAGGTCGGCAACCTCATTAATGGAACCACTTGTCATAAAGGATACATGCAGGTACTAAATTGTTTATTGTAAAATAAATTCATAATTTACTTTTAAAGAGTGTGAATTTGAAAATAAATGAAGAATTTTTATGTTCGAATTCATTATATTTCATAATATCTGATACTATTGCGTTGTGTGAACACAGACAGCCACAAAAAGCAATCATTCGCGGGAAATAAAATCTATAAACAAAGGAAGCGAAATAACCAATCTGATATAAAAAATGCAGTTACGTCAGATTCTCTCCGCCATCTTTTAGAATGAGAAATTGAAATTCAAAATGTGTTGAGTCTCATTTGTTTGGATCAAGAGATGTTCAAGTTTATTTTATCTTATTTGACATCCTATTTTTAAGGATTTCAGTACATACAAAAAATGTTTTTTATAGTTCTTAATACAACAAACGCTCTAGCTTAAGTTATACTTTCTCGGTCCCTTCGGAGGTAAATAAAATTGATCGAAAGAAATAATAACTTTTGAATGTAATAATCATACATTTTCTTAACTGGTTTGAATAAATAATATCGTGACATTTCATGGGTGAAATTATGCCGAGAGAACATAAAGCCAAAGTCTGTAAAACGAAAATCACTAAGCAAGAAGCTGTAATTGAGTTGGAGAGCGCTTTACCAATTCAACTAATTAATAAATTCTGAACTTTGTAAACTAAAAGAACTCGAGAATGGGAAGGGGAAGGCAAGCCAGGATAATGATTAGATCATTCCCCTGTCCTGATTTCAGGAATTCTGAAGTTTTGAAGCTTCCAAAATCCAATATTACGTTAACTTTTATTCATTGTACAATCAGTCCCTAGCAAAATTGTTTTTATATTAAAGATTGCCAATTTTGAGGAGATTGCTCTCTTTCAATAACTTTATGATGAAGATACTTTTCTACAGATATTATTTTGTTGCTTTGAAGGTGATATTCTTATATTTTAGTGTTACAATGAAATGAAATGTTTTTTTTTTTAAGTCATTTACTTTATTAAATTATATTTATTATGGCATTTCATAATAGTGATATTGGATATCTTACCGTCTGTATAAAATCCTCTAAAAAATAAATATACACTATATATGTATATTACTTTTAATATATTTTTATAATGATAAAATTATTATCATAGTTATTTGATATTGACTTATTATTATTCATACTGTTCCTATTTTTGTTGGCAGATAGTTGATGGTAATGCAAAAACGGACGTGTCCAACAGAAAGGAACCAGGCCTGTTTTGTGGAGAAATTGAACAACCGCAGACCTTTATATCGGAGACTAACTTTGTCAAAATCGTTTTCCACGCTGACAACTTCACAGATCAAACGTATTTCAGTTTTGATTCGAGGTAAACAAGTTTTATACATAAATAAATGTTAATAAATTTAACCCAATTTCAAATATAAATAAAAACAATAATGAGATCTAAGATTTTCGCGAGTACTCATATAAATGAAACTAATATTTTCGGATTAACTACGCGTTTTTATTTTTGACTATAAACTACATACTCCCGTCGTTTTGGCTACTTTACAGCAACCGTGATCACGGTAGTAAATCCAAAAATATTATTTGCATTGAAATAAAAACAATGTTTGTGATCTTAATAGAAAAAAAATATTTGTAATATTATCTAGTCCCACAATTTTAATAACTTTTCAATAATTACATCGTCAGTTATAATTAGTTATAAATTACAAATCAAATGTACATATGTAGTTTCAACAACTGGTCATAAAGTATAAAGTTAGGTGCTGTACTTTTATGAAGCTTCAAGGATTTTTTTTTGTGATCTTAAAGAACTAACACTAATATTTGGGAAATTATTAGATATTTAAAAATTCAAACGCCGTCTTTAATATTTATTAAATAATTTAAAAAATAGAGCGAAATCAAGAGTTGGCTAAATAAACAACCGTCCAATATAATTTCAGTCTTTGTTTCATATTTTCAGTTTTAGAAATCTTATCACAAAACAAATCTTGCGAAGTGTTATTACAAAAGACTGAAAATATAATTGCCAGAAGATTTACTTAATAGAACCATAGGGGCTGCCATATTGTTATTATCTGTTTTAAAGGCCCCCTATACTTTGTTCCAATTCAGCAGCCGGCTGTAATATATACATAATAAAATGTAAATTTTCACTTCCAAATACAAAATATAACCAATTTGAGCGAAATTAATTCTAAAATATAAATTTTTCAAATATGTAATAGTCTATCCTAGAAATCATTACCATTCATAATTTCCAAGGCTGGCTCTCAGCCAAATATCAGCTACACTATATATACATTTTTTTATTGTTATGCCCTTACTGCCGTTATTGTTCATTGGTTCGGTCATAGTAGAAATAATGATAAAGCCAAAAATAAAATTCAAAAGCTGTATGTTTTCAAATATTTTTTATTGTTATAGAGCGGAGCAGCAATTTGAGGTTTATCTTCGTTACGGGCAGCATCCCGAACTGTATCCAAATAGACGAGGTGAAGTTGTTGCCGGGTAAGTTAATATGTATGTATGCAGAAAAACTTAACGACTATAGAAATCAAATACACATTAGAGTGTTATAAACAACGATGTCAGTATGTACGTAGCATATAATTGCTATCCCAATATTAGAAATGTATATTACGTATGTAAGCTTTGTATTGTATGAGACAGATGTTAGTGAGTAATATAATTACACTGTTGTATTCACATAACATAACATTTTGAATAATGTTTAGCAAACAGTACGTGTTTCTATTAGGGTTGTAAAGTTATTAAATTTCATATTGAAAGTAATAGCTTCTGATGATACAAAGTATAATATGATTTTAACACCATTTCTTTATTAAAATCTTCTATAATCTGAAAGTTTTATGCAATAAGCTGAAAGTCAAATGTTGTAAACTAAGAGTCCTATAGAAAATAGATCGTATACTGAAAAATTTAATCAAATTTAACCAATGCTGTCGTAGTTCTCAGTAAATCATTGCTTAATAAAATTTTCCATACTTAATATTGAGTTGGATAAAATACGTTTTTGTTGCAATTTGAGTTGCGATTTACAGACATAAAACATGACGCTTGACATATCGCGATCATATTTCACAATTTTAGCTCGAAATTCCAAAGTTGAATTTTCCGTTTACGAACAAAACCGTTTGCTATTTTTGATCGTATGATATTGGTTCATCCCCGAGGCCTTATACAGGGGTTCCATTATGAAGATTTTTATTTATAAGTACTGTATATTTGCGTCCTAACTTCTTTAACAAAATTACTTTTTATTTTGACCTTCAAAATTTATGATAGAAATAGAAATATATTAAGGAACTTTTCTTCTAACAAACATAAATAATGTTTTGTCAACCCTATAACATCGTTTGTCACCGTCTAATGTCAGCAAAATAATTTGTTGCTTGATAATTGCAAAACTAAATGTTTATACATATTTCCATTTATGTTTGTTGCTGAATTTAGGCTGAACTAAAGAATGGAAGCGATTTATTTTGACATTTTCTGTAATCGGTTTGTTTTTACTATAATTTGTTGTGTAATTTAAATGGAATGTATCAAAAGATCGGTGAGGACAATAATATATGTACATGGCACTTAAATTTACTATCTTTTCTATTTTTCACACTCAGAAATACTTTCTATTATGATCAGTTAGTTATATTATTACAAAAACTAAATCAATTCACTCAAATTTAGCATCAGTTGTGAATTTAACAAAGCACTCAGAATTGGAACCCCTGAACTAACTCTAAATCTTCTAAATCCCCATCAATTACCAAAGTCACCTAAATTGTCGCGAATCATTTTCTGTCAGAATCCAAATGGCCATCGCTTTGATAGCTACGTGATCGAAATGTTTAATAGATCCCGCAGAGTGGAATTGTAATAGGTTTACGTATTATTGTGTCTCTTGATCTGATTCTAATACACACTTTCATTTATTTGGAGATATTAGTATATACAAAAAACATTAATACCAGCCCCTAGTGATTCACAAACAAATAAAATACAAAAAAATCACCATGAATATTTCATTACCGTCAAGCCTCACATGAAATTTATGACTTATATGTTTAAAAGATATTTTCTTTTTATATCAATTTGCCAAGAAAGTGCTATATCATTTTTCTTTTCCATCAATATTTGGATATCCGCCAATTTCATTGTCACGTCACCTGATTCTGTCTTTCACTTGGGCGTACGATTGAGGTTGAAGTATAATAAAGTATTCTTGTGTTTATAATGCCTCAATAATATTTTTTGGGGGAAAATATACCATGACATTTACAGACAAAGGCTTTTAGAAATGGCTTTTAGTGTATATCAAAATAATATCAACGAAAATGTCTATACAAAGCTTCTTTTGAGACCATTGATAAGACTCTTTAAATAAACATTTATATATTTTTAATTTGGATAATGTAATAAATATTTAGAATTGCTTCACTGAAACATTTTAAGTACAATGTGTAAAATGTAATCGATAATAATTTTCATTGTAATGTGAAAGATTTGTGTTAATTTTTTTATTAAATTCCTTAAAGCTTAATTACCCTATAGATGATTCAAAAATACTAGACATTTATTGTTAAATATGTCTGCTACATTCAAGCAGAAAAATGAAATTTCATAGCAAAGTAAATGTAACTAATAGTAATTAAAGCAAAATATGGTTCGTAACATTCAATCCACAGCTAAAATGGATAAAGTTAAATCAAACACACTTGTAACTGTCATATAGATAATTTATATTTTAAATTTCAAATACGAGATTGACAAATATACGCTTTCAGCGAAATTGTATTTAAATTTTAATCGCGAGTACTGCTGTTGTTATTTCAGCGCCTGCTATTGACACATGATTGTGCGAATGTATCGTAATGGCAAAATAAATCGCTGTATGTCACCCGACGCCATTGAGAATTATATTACGGCACTGATTTATAAAGTAAACGTGTTGAAATATAGCCGGGTATAATTAATGTACTGGGACAGTGAATGGGGTTATATTATAAATAGAACAAAGCCTTACAGAATGTAAAGTGATTCTGCTTATTTTAAAGAGGTTTAGTTGGTTAATAACTCTTTTTTTTTCTTTTTGTTAAATGTAACACAATGGATAATTTTATGAATTTAATTCCTTTTGAAACAACAAAAGAGAAAAATAATTCTACAATATGCATTGATATTATAGGGTCGATGGTTTTCTATTTTATTTTAATTCTATTCAGGTCATATTGTGAACGAGTTTTTCGAGATTGTCGTCTCCAGACATGCTACGTGCAATCCGCGGCGTATCCCGGCGTGTATCCCAGAAATCTACATTGCAGGTGACGCATTTATATCTTTACAATTTAAAACATAACATTTTAATATAAATGATACAAGAAAATACATTCTAACTCATGTTTTAACAAAAACTTGTGATTAAAATAATCGTTTTGAAGTGCTCTGTAAAATGTTTTTATGACGTCTGATAAGTACAATCATATCATTCTAAAAATCATTCAGGTACCACTTGAATACTCGTCTACCGTACATAAAATTGTATATTGAAAATGAGGAATTCAACATAGACGGACAGCGATGCGAGAATATAATGACGTGTCCCATGAGGCCGATTACTTCAGGTAAGATATAACTGCTAAAACAATAACTCTTCGTGACGTGTGTCTTGTTTGTTAAACGTTCTGTAACTAGTGATGTATTTTATTTATTATATATCGATATTCTTACAGACGTATTAAAAAGAAATAAATTCAAACGACTATTAGACGATGAAATAAAAAAGTGATATTTCGTGACATCAAATTTAATAAAGTAACAGTACTTTATTTAATTTGATGTCACGAAACATAAAAACGACATAAAATCTTAGACGGACTTAGCAACTATTTAAAGAAGACTAATTTAAATTTTCTCTCATAATAATAAAGAGGCCACAGTTCATTTTATAATACAACCATGAAATACCTTTTAAAGTTATGAGAAGCTAACTTTTGCGTGAGACGAGACGCTGGACAAAAGTCGGCGACTTTCATAAAAGTAGTCACAACTTTGTGAGAAAAGCTCGACCACAATAGCCTTATAAATAAAGGATCTAAGGACATTGTACGTAATAAGGAGACTAGTTGGAACATATTGCTAGAAATATCATTTCACAAATGCATCTCTATTGCAAAAGACGATTTTTATACCTTTCTATTTGAATAAATTTTAAAACCACATTGTTATAACTTAAAGTTAAATCTGAACTTATCTAAAATGAAAAGAAAATGAGGGGACATACGCTGTATTTAAGTTACATTACTACACAATTATAGTGTGTTGCTTATAATGTATAGCGATAAAGTTAATTAGAGTTTCTATATATATATTGTATTGGTATAATGGAAATATTCTTAAAATACTATAATTATATTAAAATCACTTTTGTAAACAGATTTTATATATTATTTGTATTATGTATCATAAACTCATTTCGAATTTTACCATTTTATTCAAAAAGTGACCCAAGGGTAACGAGGGTAATCCAAGTTTTGACACTTCTTAAGAACGTAATAATGGTAAAAAGTTTTCACAAAACCGCTGCGTTAATGCCTATTATTAGATGTCTGTTATTTATGGTTGTAATAAATTATCGGCACACCTTTCTGGAATAATGATAGGAAATATATTTCAAAAGAAAAAGATTATGTGATAGAGCCTAGACGTTTTCTGCTACCATAAATATATTGAAAGAAATATTTATATCAAATATGTACTTCTATTTCAATACGATTTTTATTTTAGGTTCAGAGAATTGCCCGTACGATTATATCAAGATTTACGACGGTAAAGACGAATCAGCATCGGTGATCGGAACTTTCTGCGGAATGGGAAAGTTCCCCTACTCCATTATCGGCACATCCCAGGATCTATTCGTGGAATTTGTTAGCTCTCCTGCAGGTATGAACTTTGTCTACCTTATACAGGCTGCATTTAATATTAAACATATTAATTGAATTATAAAACTGATGGAATTATCTGACAATATGAGGACAAATATTTATATTATTTTATAATAATGACACATCCAGCACCATTTCGACAAAATGAGTCCAGATGTTTAATCGGTACTTAATATGAAAGTATTGTATATATCGGATTTATTACATATTCGTTGTTTTTAAAGAGAGGGACGCCAGCCTCGCTGACATTACAAATGTCACTTCTTCTAGTATGGTCCATGATATTTTAAAATGAAACTTCAATTGTTCTTAATGCTCCTGTATTTCTCAAAGAGTCTTCATAATAACATACTTAAATGATTCACACTCACTGAACTCTGTAATTATCAATTCTGAAGTCCCAATTCTGGAGTCGTGCATCCAGACGTCATATTTATAACAAGATTCAAACATAGTTCTATTCTCCTTTCATTTCGTTTTACTTTTAACAATAATCATAAATACTAATGAGGTTTAATAAGAATTGATGACAGCCTCAAATTATTTTCAAGTCGCATCCGTTATTAAAGCTGGTAGCGCCGATATATAAAATATCTATCAATTAAATATTTAAAAAAATCATTATTTTGATTCACACGGGTAATGTGTTATTTTTAATTATATAATATCATTATGCGAAAATGGTATTATCTATTTGACAAAGACAAATTAAATATTTAAAAACTTTTGTATCTCGTACAGCTTAAACGCTCAGTGCTCTGAAACAATCGTAATTCAATCAATTCTATTGCCATTCAAGTGATTATTTGTTTATTATGAACATAGCTGTGACTCCTCAAAAAATAACATGAATAATTATTAAAAAAAATTAAGCAATAATAATGTTAAACTTATACAATTAGACTTCAATTATAATGTGAATGTTTCTCAATATATTTATTTAAATTATACTTTAATATCAGGTCCTCTCCTAAACACTGGATTTCATTTCAACGTCGGGAACTGGCCAGGTCATGTAGAAGCTCCTGGATCTAAGATAGGAAGCTGCGATTGGCTTCTTACAGCCGAATCCTTAAAGAAATCTGGTGATACGGAAGGAATATTTCTCTCAGTCGCCCACTGGTATCCTCCTCATACATCTTGCACTTATCTCATGCAAGGCTTCCCCGGACAAGTAGTTAGACTTTATTTTCCAAGGTAAGAATAACTTTAAAATATTACAGAAAGGTGATTACAGATTAAAGCATTTTTAAAACGTTGTTTTATTTTAAGCTTCCGGATTAATCGTATAGAATCACCAATAGTACCATGGACCGGGGACTGCGGAGAATCCCTTACTCTATATGACGCTCCCAGACCTGATGACGCGAAGATTATCAAAACATTCTGCGACACCTTTAGCAGGCCAATGGAGAAACATGATTTCGTATCTACCGGCAACGCAATGTTTGTGAGATTTGAAAGTAAAACTGGAAGTTATAGTGGGTAAGTTTATTATTTATATGTATCAATAAAAATAAGTAGAAAAATGTTTTCGTTGAAACTAGGAGTAGATATTTCATTTTCAGCAAAGTTTTCTAACTCGCTCTGTATTTAATTCGTATGTTTAATGGGATTTTATTGATGGGATAAAATTAATAATTAATTAAATTAATTAGTATATTAAATACACGCAAACTGAATCATTTATTATGTCCATATAAACAACGAAAACAAATGAAAGCATAATCACAAACCACAAAGCCACTTTCACCACAATGTTTACCTTTGAAATAGCTTTCATTAATGATCTGCCAGTTTCACATAGTATTTATTTACTGCGTGATGGAAATAATACCGAAAATTATAAGGAAAATCAGAGACCAATAGGAAAAAGTAGCGAAAGTCAAAACTATAACACAATTCTACGCCATAATGGATACTGTTATTAGCAGGAAAATATTGTACGGTGGATAACACGCAAAGGGTTCGAAATTAAGAGACAATATCATGCCCACTATAATATTAAATAGAAACTGAAGAATGTTTTATTGAGATTGTATTATTGCAAAAAAATAATAATAATTTGAATTGACTAAATTGAAATTAATTTGTACAAAAAATAATGGTTCCCATGTAAGTGAAACTGTATCTTTCGTTTCAAAATATACATAATGAGTGAAATATTATGGTTCTATTCGGTACTCCACATTACTTGTGACTCATTTCGAATAATTTGTAATTAAACCTAAATTGCTATGTTATCAATTATAAGGATATTAATATTTTCACATTTTTTTTAAAAACGTTTAATTGGGATATTGGAGATACATGAAATTAAATCGTTTTCTGGTGAATTTACAAAAAAACTGTCTTCCGGGGTAGTTAGACTGGACAAAACTAAGACATCGCAATTTAGTGTATTTATCCGAAGACGTTTAAATTATTGCTGGTTAGTCATCTACTTAATTCATATGATGTAGATTTGATTGGTGAGATATGTGATAAAACCATCAACAATATCAGTCACGTTAAAATACTTACATAAATCTCAGTGACTTATGCTTATCGGTGGATTATAAATTATATTAACCAGTTCTTCGAATGTAGTAAAAATCCATACTGTTTACTTTTAATCATTATTAGAACTGGTAATTGGTTTTAATTATTTAAAATAGTTTTGTCCTTGGAGAAATCTGTGCGCTTAATAGATTTCTAGGATTAAATACTAGGATTAAATATAGGAGAGCAAGCATAAATTAATGAATAAGAAGACAGGTATTTACCATACATTTTCCTTATTGCCGTTGAAATGTATAATTAATTTGATAAAAGGAAAAATTAAATTTTGGAGTTGCTTCACAGGATATTTATACTTACCGTTTTTTGCTATTGTCTGTTAGAGTTGAAATTTAGTCCCTTTAGGGTTTCGTTTTTAAATTTAATAATTTTGAAATACGAAATGTGCTTTTTTACTAACTCATTGAATGGAGTACAATAATTAGTTAGGAAAACATGTTTAAGCGCTCATAACGAATTATAACCAACACATGATAGAAATTCATGACATTTTATTACAGAAAGGGCAAAGTAACCTTCACTCATCCAATGAATTTTAGTTAAAAAAATCTCCTTTACACAAATTTATGTGTAGAGCCAGACTGTATATAAGCAGAATCCAAAAAACAGTCTTACACTTACTACGCTACCCTGCTGAACCAAGACGAGCGAGAAATAATATAAGATATAACATTTAGTGAACATTTTCATTATAAAATAAAATATTTCAGGTCATCTCTCTACTATTGGGCGCATTACGACTTCTTTAACAACACACGTTTTGGAGAGCCTGTTCAAGGTACAGCATGTGATGAGGTCATAGCTTCTTGGAAACAAAGAGCTGGCAGAATCAGATCACCTCTTAATACTTTAGTGTATAAACAGGCCCCACCTGGCGAAGATGTTCATTGTTTATATAGATTTGTGACTGACAAGAGAATTTACGCTCGGGTTATACTAACTATACTCAGCGTTAATTTCAAGGTAAATATTATCTAGTATAAAATTTAATTAATACATAGTACGTTTCTTATCGATAAATTCTTAAAATAAATATTGTTTAAACATAATTCTGAATTAAAAATAAAATAGTATATAATAAACACAGTTAAAGCGTAAAACCACTTTTAATTTTATTTTCATGACAAAACTTTTTTATCTTAAGATTTCAAACGATAAGAAACTTAAACCGTGAACAGCACCTCAGTTTGTAAAGTTCATTTGTTTATTTCATTTTCGTATTCCGGTTTCGTCCGCCGGGATCTATTTAATATGTAAATCTAAATAAAAAGTTATGTCTGCATTTGTATTTACCTACAAATTTAAACTTTTAAAGCAAAACCCAATGTTCCGTTAAATTGCTCATAAACTCTACCTTCAGTAAAATAGGCTTTCATGTATTTTACTCCACGGGTTACCTTGTATTATAAATTAAAACATTAATGAGCTCTGCGCGAGCTGAACTTTTACGAGGCTATAATATATAGTTCTTTTTAGATCGCTATCTGAACTGAAAAATATTTATACTTGCAAATAAAGACTTTATTTAATTAAAGAAGCTATTAGTAAACTAGACTTTTGGTTTCAGGAACATCCGTATACACCTGTTTCATGTCAAAACTGTTATGAAGATAGGGCAGACAAGCTTATTATTTGGGAGCCATTTCCAGCTGGTAAAAGTGCAAACACAACAATGGGCGTTACCACAACACCGTTACCATTACATTTAGCTGTACAAAGATCAATCGGATCTTGCTTATGTGCAAAACATGCAAATTCTGTTTCACGGGTTAGACCATACAGAATAGTATCATCAGGAGAGACATTAAACCTTCAATTAATAGTTGATAATGCCCATGCAGCTGCTTCTTATTTCAAGAATCCTTCACCACTTTTTGAAGCAAGATATGAATTTGTTCACGGACCTTTGTGCGGTCCACCAGTATTGGCTGCAGCATCAGATGGAGAGATTGTATATCCGCACTTAGAAGCTTTAGGTTATACGGAACCTCCAAAAAGAATTCAATGCATTTGGGATCTAGAAATAGAAGAAAAAAGAGATATATGGCTGCACTTTGATAGTATTAAATTTGCATCACGTCATTGCGATGATGGAAATATACAAATATATTTACCAGGTCGAGTGGAGTCTTACTTATCAATTTGTGGAGAAAATGTATCTTTGGCTCGTGAATTGCCAATTTTGTCAGCCGGTGAACTAGGATTTGAATCATTAGATGATCCATTGGTGATGGAAAAAGAAAAAACGAGATCCATTAGAATTGTTTTTATTGGTAGTGCGTCACCAGCTCGTGCATCGTTTAAAATTGCTTGGACAGGACTGTTCCACTTGCCCAAAAATTCTGATGGAACACTTATGACATCACGTTTGACAGAAGGTGGATCTCTTAACCCTGATTCAGGACACGGGTGTGACTTTATCTGTCCTGGAGATGAAGCGCTTTGCATTCCAGCCCGACTTATTTGTAATGGCGTGGTTAATTGTCCTAATGTAACTTCTACAGAGAAAAAGTATTGGACTGCTGAAGAAAAGCGTGCAAGAGAAGCTTATGCTGAAGATAGCTTACGGCGTCTAGGTTACTTGGATGTACTAAATGGAATATCTTTAGGGAAACTCAGTGATGAGGCACCAGAATTATGTGCGGGTGCTAGAAGCGCAGGTGAAAGTGATTGGCTAGCTCCTGTTTTAGGAGCAGTGCTTGCATTTGCTATTGGTGTATGTGCTTTAGGCGCGGCTTGGCGTTTATGTTGCCGCAAGCGATCACCTGATGAAGAGTCTCTGGATTACTGACACGCGGCACGCGGCGCACCGCATGCGCCGCCTACCCTTCACTCACGATCTTCATCTAGAGATTTACATCTAGATTGGAGTTTGCATTGACAGACACTTTATTGAGCGTCCAAATTTTTTTCTCTTTATCAAATGATTCAATTCTATATTTAAAACTTAATTTTTTGATCTTGTTTAAACTCACATTAGAAAATGTAGTTTTTTTAATATTGAATTTTTTTTTTTTATGATAATTGTAACACTACATTTTTTCATATCATACTTACTCAGCGTACGATAATTATACTTTATTACTATATATCCAATATTAATCTTTTTTCTTAAAAAATATTAAAACGGCGCTCAGTATTGTTTTGTAATTAGTGTAAATACCTTGATAGTTATCCCTACAGTTAAAGAATGATTCAGAGGAATGATCATAGGTTACAACAAGGTGATAGTAGTCGTAGTAATTAAGAATTTGTCAGAATAATCATGATTAATGATATTTGAGTCATACCTGTAAATTTTCAAATAAATCATGTGTCAAGTATATCAGCATTTAAAAACCTGTATGACAAAAGATTGTATTCGGAAATGAAGTATACAACATAGAGTAATAATTTGTTCAGAAGAAAAATCAATAGTGAAAAATCGAGTAGAAATACTATGAAATTATAATGCAATAACAGAGAGAGAACGGTTGCGTGGTCAAAGTTGGATAATAAAAGCCTGCAGGTGAACTAGTTCACTTGAAAGTTACAGATGGAACCGACTTAAAATTATAAAAGTTGGTGCCGAGAATTTTCCTCTTGATATTTCATTATTTTATAAACAAAATTGTTCTCGTGTTGGTTACCGTAAAATGATTACGATGTAAATATGAATAGGCGTTTATAAAAATAGTAATGAGTTAAAAGCAGTTCACTGCCATCAAAGATTACTTTCGTTTTCGTAATTCTCTTAATTTATTGCTTAAATAAATAGTTTAGTTGTTATATTCAATTTGCAATAATTTAAATTTAATATTATATGTAGTTACAATATGTTCAACTACACTAATTATTTTATAATACAGCTTAAAGTAAAATGTGTATATACAGTTTTAAACACTTACAAAGTGCTAAATGCTTTTCCTTTAAAAAATACCTTGAAGAAGATAAAGAGGTTTCCAGATAAATATCCTCAATTACAATTTTAATCATCTTAAACCTTAAAGTACAATTTTACTTTAAGCTTGCTACTAAATGAAGAGTAGTAAAACGTTTTATTTCGGATACGGTAATTACATTCGAAATACATATCCGAATTATGAATTTGAATAAAATTTTAACCTTTTTCATGTTAATATTATAATTTGAGGCAAATTTACTCCCTTTGACTTTAACGAACGAATTTTCTTTTAAATTAAATGTAAATAAACAGTGATTATAATGATTCTGATCACCCAATTACCGTATCTGATTAATGATTATTAAAACGCACATTTATTTAGAGGCAATGTTAATTTTGTGAAGCATTTTTGTAAAACACAATTATGATAGTTTATATGAATAAAATGTTAACAAAATAAATATATTTTGTACAAATATGTATTTAATTTATTAAAATTACCAACTTTCCTTTTCGTTTTGTCTTTCTTTTATTTTCCTACTCTCTTTAATATATGTAACGTTCGGGTGGGGCTTGCACTTCTAATTTATATTTAGTTTCTTCTCTTGAAATCTATACTTATATGTTTCAGTCAAATTAAAATTGTTCACTAACCCAGTACATTTTGAGGTAGAACATTTAAATTATAATTTTAATCAATTTAAAATAAATCTGTTGTAAACATTTAAAATTGATACAAAACTGTTCTAAAACCTATCAGACATAGTAATCTGAAATCTTTAAATATAATCACTGAAGTAAACAAAGTACTAAATGTCTAAATCAAATCGTTTGTTACATTACTTACTTACTTAGACACAATTTTCTAATTCAATATGGAAAAACTAATAATAATTAATTTGATTGTGCCTTTATGTTAATTTCAAACAATACTTCTAATATTATTAATTTAGATAAATTTAGTATTACTACTTGAAATCTATAGTAACTTACCATTATATATATTTATTTTATACGGACAAAGTATATAATCTTTTTATAAAATCTAGTTAAAATTTTTGTTATCTATGTGAACAATTTACCCAAGAACATAGACTTTTCTTGAAAAAAAACATAGTTATATATAGTGAATGAAACTATATATAAAAAAAATAAATCACTTGTTACTATTATTAAATTAAGTATAGCAATTTTATTCGCAAGACAAAAATATCTGTCAAGATCTAAATAAGTTACTTAGCGGTAAAGTTACTTACGGAATCATTAAAAAAGCTGAAGCGGGAATACCTTAAGAAGAAAGTTAATTAGGTCTACGGAGCGTACCATCGTTTGTTTAACTTAACTTAAAGTTATGAAACTAATGATTGGATTAATAAAGCGATAAGTGAAGCGAAGATTTTTAATTAAGTACTTTTATTTTATAGCTGCACCAACTCATATTTTTACAAGCTATAAAACCTACAATGTTCTTTATATTAATAAAAAAAATTATTGCAATTAAAGTAAATTTAGTTCTGTTCACTAATTGAAGAAAATATAATATGGGAAGTATATCCTTAAATTCAAACGTCATGAAGTAATTAATTACTGATGTGTAAATTTAAAGAAATATTTAAAACATTTTACATAAGACACCTTCTTCCTTGTAACAATTAATGCAAGTATTACGAAGACATATCTATCTAGTAGTTTTTATATTCTTTTACTTAGACTTGGTCAATTAAAAAGAATCTCAAGTAAGGGACAAAATATATTGTAGTGTTAAGTTTCTAAAAGCAAAATCCCTTAAGAGACTGTTCATTGTAGTGCTTCCATGAGATACCTTTGCTATTCATTATTTTTTATATAGAAAATAAAATACTTTTATAAAAATAAAAAAACAAGTTCAAGACTTTGTTTAAATTACATTCTTAAGAGTAATAATAATTGTTATTAATTTGAAATCGTATGCAAGAAAAAAAGAGATTAAAAAGTTGCCACTCTGAACAATCAAAGCAAGTTAAAAATCGGTTTTGTTTGGTGTGATTAAATTTACTTGTAAATATTTTTTAATTTAAATTTCATAATTCATTTGTTTCTTACAATATGGATATATATAAGAAATAGTACACCATATTTGAAAAAGATTCTTCGTCTATTGCTTTACGTCGTTTAAAATTTATTTAAAATGTTAATTATCTTGAAGCATAAAAATTTCTTCATGACACAAAGTTTAAAATGATTACGAGGCATAATGTTATCTGAGGTCCCCTCAAGTCCATTTTGATATGGGTCTCATAATTTCCACCCTTGTCACATATGACATGTTTATGGTGGAATATTCTTGTTATTGTTCTTGTTTCTTTTACATTTATATAAATCCTTTGTAACTTCTGTAACTAAATATACTGAACTTAAGAAATAATCTGTGCACATATTGGTAAGGTACATTTAATTTTTTTAAACCTTATATAGATATTGAAAACCTAAAATCTATTTTAACAACCTGTTTTTTTAATAATGGCAAAACATGCCCTTTTTAATGTCAGACCCCAGAAATTTAAAGATGGTAGAGCCTAGCTGTGGTGAGTTACTACAGCTCGAACATGGGCTGGCTCGACCGGGGAAGTACCACCCTCTCACAGAAGATCGGCGTGAAGTAGCCTTTAATGGTTGCGTTTCGTCCGATGAGTGAGAGAACCGGTGGTGGAGAGATGTCCATGGGCGACGGTAACCACCTCCCATCAAGTGGGCCGTCTGCTCGTTTGCCACCTTTCACATAAAAAAAAAAAAAATTACTCAAAGTGATCACGGTTGCTGCAAAGTATCCGTCGGGAGTATGAAGTTTAAAATTTTCGTTTTTATGCCAGTTTTTTGTGAAATAATCAAATGCATTACATTTATTTTTCAATTATCTGAAAGCATACCATGTCTTTTCAAATCTGAATGAAGCAACGTGAGATGTATAAAGTTATCTACTTATGAAATTGGTATTCTTTAACAAAAATCTTGTTATTTATAATAAATGCAATGTTTTAGATTTATAAAATTAAGAGAGCACAGATTCTTATAAATTATTAAATAGTTAAATAATTAAAACTCCTTTTAGTACTTCTGAGTTCCAAAAAAAAATGTAAGTTAAATCATCAAAAAAGTTAACAGCAGTCTACTCAATTCCAGCAAATATCAGTTTTACTGGCTAAAAACGGAGAGACCTGGAAATGCAAATAAGTAGCAGTATTTACAGTTTTTGTATGCAAAACAAGGATAATTCGTTAAAATAAATGTTTTTCTAAAAAATAAATCAAGCTCTTAGTTTTTTTATTTAAAAAAATTGAAAAATAAAAAGAAGTGTGACGTTTAATACTTTAATATGTAAATTATTCACAATTATATAATATTTTTTGTTACTATGTCTTTTAGTACTGATTTAGATAAATTGTTCTACGCTACTCTAAGAAAAAGCCATACAAAAACTACATCATATATATCTTATTACGTCTCTTACAGTATATTTTTGACAAAACCAAATTCTAGTCTCAATCTAAAGTCACAAAAACAATATGATTTAAGACGCGTGTATAATTTAAATACTAAAATTTTTACAAAGAATCAATTTTGCTAAATAAATCAAATATAATGATTTATAATGGAACCAACAAACTTTTAAGACAAACGTAAGATTTAACCAAAGTTGGAGTGAAGCTTTCATATTTCAAAGCGAATGCCTGAAGGAGATCCTTAACGAATTCATGATTTGAACTGAATATTTTGAAGTGAAATAAAAACTGAAATGTTTTTATACATTATGTCTATGTTAATATAATAAAATAACCGTCCTTTTTAACGTACAGATTACTTTTAAAACTTATGTTGCCACACAAGTTATGACAATAGTTTTGAGATAAACAATATGCATGACTCATAAT